GTGTGTGTGTGTGTGTGTGTGTGTGTGTGTGTGTGTGTGTGTGTGTGTGTGTGTGTGTGTGTGTGTTGCGGGGGACCCACCCCAGGGCCTCTTAACATTAAGCACAACCACACTCTACCACTGAGCTACAAGTCAGCCTCCCACCTCTACTGATTTTATGGACCTAAGGATATTTGTGTCAGTCCAGTACAAGACCAGAGTGGTCATTTTACAAATTACATCATTTGAAGAATCATTTGCCTCGCCTGTGTTCTATTCCTGGTCTGAATCATTAGGAAATAGCCAACAAATCTAATTTGAGGAACATTCTGAAAAACAAGTAACCCTGGCTTTAGAAAACCTTGAGATTATGAACGGGAAAGGGCTGGAGAAGTAGTCCAGTTTTAAGGAGAACTAAAAGAAGCCCGCTGGTAAATGGCCCTTTTGGTTCTGGGAAATCCCGGCTCTGAGTGAGAGCGAGGTTCAGGGTGAGAGTGTGTTTTATTTTGTTGATATCAGTCCTTCACAAGGAAAACGATCATGAAAGCTGTATACATCTGGGTGGGTAAAAGAGATTTAGAAAACTACAGCATTTTTCTGTGTTCATAGATAACCAAGTGATTTGGGAACTCATCTCTTTCTAAGTGAATCATCTGAAATTTCTTGATTCTGCTTTATTTAAAATATATTATGCAATGATTTTTCTTTTGTAGGTTTGGATAAATACCTCAGACATCATATTGGTGGGCCTCCGAGATTACCAGGTAAAAATTACTTTGAAATTTGTTGTTGATTTGCTTGAACTTGATGAGCCATTTCCTAACTGTCCATTGTATTTTAGGCATTATGCTTGGTGTCCCTGGCATTATGTATGGTTCCCAGATGCCAGTCTAAGGAGTTAAACAGTTTTTATAGAGTAAAATGGTCTCTAAGAAAAGAGAAGTTTTCCCTTTAGAATAAATGATACAGGGCTAGAAAGATGGCTCAGTGGTTAAGAGCACTGACTGCTCTTACAGAGGACCCAGGTTCAATTCCCAGCACCCACATGGCAGCTCACAACTGTCTGCAACTCCAGTTCCAGGGGATCTAACTCCCTCACACAGACATACATGCAGGCAAAACACCAATGCACATAAAATAAAAATAAATTATAATAGATCATACTACTATGTGGTAGTTTTGTTCTTTTTTTAGTTCTCCATTTTTTATTTTACTTTATAGATCTCTAAAAATCCAGTACCTATTATTGTAGGGTTTTACAGCTGAATGAATCCAGTTATATCCCACAGGTGGCATATTGCCTTGAGTGTTCCCTCTCTCCCAATCCTGGAATTACAAAGTATGCACCACTATTGCTGGCCCCCTTTTATTACATTTCTGTTTGTACGGCTTTTTACTTTTGTGTTTCAGATTAAAGTGTTGACATCTTTGTTTCAAACCATAGGGTTCTCTGTGAGTGATTTGACCCTTCAGAGGGTCAGAGGCAATGTTTGGAGACTTTGGTTACCATAACTTGAGTGAGGGTCTTAGCATATGGTAGGTAGGTAGAGTACTAGTTATATGGAACACCCTCTGATGCACAGCATCCCATAACAAAGATGATCTAGCTCAGAATTAGCATTAGTGCTTTTGTTGAGAAAAGCTGCTCCAAATCCATAAGTCATTTGTTCTTTTTAGATCTTAATAGTAACCCTAGAAGAAGGAAGGCTTATTGTTAGAAAGGACACTAAAATTCAGACAGTTTTAACACTGACTCTAATCTCCCATGATCCTTTTCTCTCTCTTTTGATTTTTCGAGACAGGGTTTCTCTGTGTAGCTTTGCGCCTTTTCCTGGAACTCACTTGGCAGTCCAGGCTGGCCTCGAACTCACAGAGATCCGCCTGGCTCTGCCTCCCGAGTGCTGGGATTAAAGGCGTGCGCCACCACCGGCCCGGCCCTCCTTTTTCTCTTTCTTTTGCTACTTTGAGAGTGGTCCAGAGATTGAAGCATTACTGTTTTCTGGGAGCTGGGAAGAAATTTAGGTTCTTGGGACTGGAGAGATGGCTTAGCCATGAAGAACACTTACTCTTACAGAGGATCTATCTGGGTTTGATTTTCAGTATTAACACCACATCAGTAGCTCCAGTTCCAAGGGATCTGATGCTTCCTGACCTCTGTGGGCACCAGGCACACATGTGGTGGACATACATATATCTAGGCAAAACATTCATACTCAAAAATAAATCGAAAAAGAAAATTTAAGAAAAGAAAGTTCAAGTTCTTACTATCCACCACCCTCTTTCTGTACACTTCTCACAATTTTAAAAGTACTAGTTTAGATTACAGTGCCCTTGAAATTGAAGCAACCCATTTTTCACCCTCGGAGGAGTGAAATTCTTCTCAAATAAGGAAATGTAAGCATTTCAAGGCATCGTGTCTTGTATACACAGAAGAAATAACATTTAAAAAAGAAATTACAAAGCCGGGCGGTGGTGGCGCACGCCTTTAATCCCAGCACTCGGGAGGCAGAGGCAGGCGGATCTCTGTGAGTTCGAGGCCAGCCTGGGCTACCAAGTG